TCGTTCACTACCAGCTAAATCTACTAATGAAATTTTTGATTGTTTTTCAGTTGTTAAATTTGTTATTGAATCATATGTTGATTGTGAAAATAATATTGTAAATACAGCATGTGAACGACTTGATGTTTCATTCATATTTGTTGCAGCTACTGTTCGAGCTTTATTACCTTCATCAATTAATCTTGATATATCATCATACGATGTAACAAGTAAACGAGATAAATCTTCAACATATGGTCCCATAATAGGATGTTCACGAACACGTAAATTATGTGAACTACCAACACCGATTGTTTGAGATTTTTTTGGTGAAAGTAAATCTCGTACACGTTCACAATATATTTCCATATATGATACTTCAACTGTATAACGTGGTTTTATATATGAAGAAGGTGATGATGATGATGATAATAATGGTGATGATGAATTAATACGATCAAATAAATCACCACATAATCTTGGAATAATACCTTGTTGTTCAAATTCATTTTTACCCATCATTGTATAAGATTTACCAGCACCTGTTTGTCCATATGCAAATATACAAACATTATATCCTTCAAATGAATGTTCTAACATTTCAATTCCTAAATCTTGATAAACTTGTTCTTGTGTAGCAAATATTTGATTATTTATATTTTCATCACATGACCAATATGAATAATCATATTTATAATGTTTAATATTATCATCAATAGGATTTCGTATAAATGTTGTTTGTTCTTTTTGATCCATTCGAATAATACATTTAGATTGACGATTTCGTTCACGTGTATTAAATGGTCGTACACGAACGGCCACTTTGACCGACGTCATCTTCTTTCTTTTGTTTTTGATCGCGTACGATCTAAAACTAAAGAAAAAAAATAATATGATTCTCAAATAGAGAAAAACCAAAAACGAAGAAGATGTAAATGACGATGTGATGAAAGATTATTATTTTTTTTTTCTCGGAAATGCAAATGAACAAAACGATAGAGCAAAGAAAAAAGAGAAGAAAAAAAAAGCAAGAACAAATGGATCATGGATATGTTCGTTCGTCGCTTCTTGACAAGATCTATCAATGTTGTTGACACTCAATAATAGAAAAATGAAGAGAAAAGCAAAAAAAAAAAAATCTTTTTCTGATCACAAATATTTCCATAGATCAGCGTAATAAATAATTACAAGCTATTTTGCTTGAAGACAAGGAAAAAAAATATCTCGATATTTAGATATAAGGAACATTTAAGCATTTATTTTATTTCGTTTATAAATAAATAATTAAATACACTATAATACTACGATTTATTAATAATAAAACTTAATAAACGAGTATCAAAGTGATTCAGTGACCCTGACATTTTCGAAAATATTCATCAATAATTTCATGTTCAATTTTATGTGAAAATTCAATAAATTTTATTAAATAAAATATTATTCACAATAGACCTATTGTCTTGCGAATGACAAAAAAAAAATATCGTATAATCTACCATCTTAATTTAATTATTAAATGAGTTAGTAATCGATTGATTTGAATTTTTCTATATTCATTTAATCATTTCTAGTGGGAGATGAATTTCCTGGATTATTCTTATCATTCTTTTTGTTTTTTTATTCTTTGTTCAATAAATAATAGGTTGTCTAAATCTTCATTTTGATCCCTCTTCGCAATTCATTATGATCAAACAACAGATGATTAATCCCATAGTGTAAAATATTTTGTAATATATAAGGAAAACAAAAATGACAACGGAAAAGATTTTTTGTTTTTTTCTAAAGAAACATCAATAAAGTAATTCTCTTCATCAATATAGAACAAAATGTAAATCATATAAGGGTGAATCCGTGGGATTTCTATCACAATTTGGAAAAAAAAAAATTTTTTTTTTTTGATTTTGATATTCTAGTTAGATGTAACATCGGTTAGAGGTAATAGTAAAAACTTTCTTTGGTACATAAAGTTTTGGAAGTCCAGATCATTTTTTTAGGAACAACTCAACGTATTTGTAATTGGATATGTTGGAGGTGTCAACTATGTTACAAAATAATGAAATTTTCAATGTTTGTAGAACTTTTAATTCTCAGCATTTTGATAAAAAAAAATTTGTGAAAAGCTTTCATTTTGTATAAAATAGATTCAAAATATTATAAGTAATGAAGAAAACTAAACAACAATTTATCAAATTTTCGCAAAAAATCGTTTTTTTTTTGAAAGTTTTTTAGTTTTTCACTGCTCACAGTGTTCTGAATCTATTTCCGACAAAATAACAGCTGTTAAAAAAATTTTTTTTTCATCAAAATCTACAAACGTTGAAAATTTCATCATTTTGCAACGTAGTTGAGGTTCTCAACATATTCAATTACAAATCCATTGAGTTATTCCTAAAAAATAATCTGGATCTTCAAACTTTATGTACTAAAAAACATTTTTACTATTACCTCTAACTAGAATATCAAAATCGATCGAAAAAAAAAAACTTTTCCCACCAACATGGTAGAAACCCCATGGATACACCCAATATTTTTTCTTTTGTGAGGCTCACATTTATTTTCGAAGAAAATAATGAGTACAAAGAGGAAAGCGAAATATCTTTCGGTACAGTTTCCTAGCAAAAGAAACATTAATAATAATAGTGCTTAGATCATTTTCTAGAATCTTTCAAAACATTCTATAAATATACGATTCTAACGAGTGTAAATATTGAAGGTTGTGATTAGTAGGATGATAGTGCTATTGACCTAGTAGAGTCAAAAAATGATGAACATAGAAAAATATGAACTAATTGAATTCTAAGTTTAAGCAAAACTAAATAGTATATGTCAAAGTTCATCGAAAGAAAAGATTATACACTCGGAAGCTTACTGAACAATTAAATTAATGTATATAGCAGGCTAACATGACAATTGAATTGACGAAACGAAGAATAAAATGCTATTTGCCGTTTCCTATCATCTATCTTATATATTAGCATTAGGAGAAAAGAAATTATGCATCGAAGATGTATTTAACAATACATATTATAATGATATTAAAAGAATTTAATAAATTTGTTACAATAGTAATTCTAAATGTAAACACTTTCGAAGTGATACAATTTTAAAGAATATGTATTAACTGGAAAAAAAAACTGTTATAATTTTGATTAAATTTATCTATCACATTGTTTTGTTTTTTAATAAATTATTTTAACACCTCAAACAATATACCATGAATTTTGTTACAGTTAGTTTTTTTTTTTGAGAGATTCACACATTAGTGCCTCATGAGAACTGCTATGACAAGTTCTTCATAATAAAAAAAAATCGTTCTATCGATTAACACTCTTACGACACTTCTAGTATTCAACAATATTAATCTATAGAAAAGTCTTTTCATATTTATTTATTAATATTGAATGATGAAATGTTCACTCACTTACAAAATTTTTTAATTATTTATTTTTTTTGCTCGGAATAAATGATGTTAAAGAATAGTTGTTATATAAAATAAGACAACAATGGATTTGTTTCAAAACATAATAATAAATAATGTTCACACCATGTCATTTGTAAAAAAAGAAACTATATTCATTTCAGCATGACTCAAAGAATTCATACGATGATAATAATCTATAAAAATAACAATGTGTGTAAATCGAATTCTCATGAGTGTATATAAGCCACTAGAAAAAAAAATCTTCTAAATAATTCTATAATTATAAAAAAATAATTATGATTTATATAATTTATAAGAGAATGAAATCTAAGTTGTTTTGTTTTGTTTTTTTTGCTGATAAATATTTGATTAATAGAAACAATTTTTCACATGTCCGAAATTGGATCTTTTCCGATGCATTAATAGATTTCTTTTTTTTTTTTGACAACTGACTAGTTACCATGATAGGATAATATTGTCCTCTCATGAAATTTTTGCTTTGATTTAAAGTTACTCATTTATTTATTCTAATTAGGACAGAATCTGTTTTCTTATATTTTATAATTAAGAAAAAGATTCATAGAATTCTAAGTGCATTAATGCATTATTCTATAGATTTACTGTCATAGTATCCGAATGAATAAATGAAGAACAAGAGAGTAGTCCAAATGATAATAATGATATTATTTTGTATGTTTATGAAAAACTTTTCAAATTTCATGGCACAAATTTTCTACTATTCCTAATTGAATTTTACTGTTAAATTCTCTCTAAAATAATTAATTAACATATTTCTGACGTTTTATTTTTGCAATTGACTTGTACTCGTTTAATTTAAACAATAGATGTTCCTCAAAGTATTAATCTAGCATCTTACAAAGGAAGTTCTCCAGCTGATAAATTGCTTTTGATATGAGACTATATGAGATATGATGCCGTGACCCCGTCAGGAGTACAAAGAAAACTAATTGTCGAATTTCAATTAAACATTTTGTATAGAGAGAAACTTTAATGTGAATAGTTTATTTCTCTATGCAAAGCTTCAAATCAAAATTCATAAATTAGTTTCTCTGATGAATCGTGACAATCATGTTAAAAATATCGTAAAGCGACTGAAGATGCTAAGACGATTTTTAACTCGTTAAACTGTAAATGAAATTCAAAAGACAAAACGTCATTGAGATGAGAATCAACGAGTATAGTTCGATTTTAATCATTACTAAGCGTTGCACACTATACAAAATTTTGAAAAATAACAAAAAAAAGACTTTATCAGCAGAAATTTCGATCTCTTACGCAATAAGCACTATGAGAATAATGTTCAGTAGACTACAAGTAAGAAAAATAACAAAGAATTCATTGAAAATGAGGATTCTTAGCAAAGAACCTAAGTGCAATCCACTAATATACACTGTATTGAAGAAATTAAAATAATAGAATAAACCTTTGAAAAAAAAACAGAGATGTTCATGCTATGGATACGCAATTCCACTGACAAAACTCTCATCCAAGAAGTCATTCATACAGAACGTCCACATAAAAATGGCAATTTTTAATCCTTATCTTTCATCCAGAGATATGCATCACCCACCTCATCTTGATGATACCAGTTGTTAGACTCTATATTCTTTCGAAGTCTTTTCAACTTTATGTTGTTGTTCTTAGGTAAGCGTTCAGAAATGAAGTTCTATTCTTTAAGAAATATTACAGAGTAACAAATAGTGTAAAGTGCAGGCGTCAGACACTTATCTAACAGTGGAATACACATCTCTGCTCTCTTCTGTCCAGTTTCATCGTTCTCCTCTATTTCTGAACATCCAAGATAAAAAGCAACAGCAACTTTATAGAAAGAGTCTGTTACTTCCAATAGACCACTGCCTTTTGTTTATATAACAGTTCGTTAAATAAATCTATCAAAAATAGAAATGCAACCATATATTCTTTAAACAACAAGCAAAAATCTAAACTATTACAAAGTTTTTCGTTTTTTAAATATATTTAGTTTTAATGAGCAGACGATAATAAAAATATAAAATTAAGCTTAATACAAATAATATAAAAAAATTCAACAACATTTATATTATTGCTTGAGAAAATAATAAACTGTCCATGTCAAATAGTCTTCAATTATTTCAATATCATATTCATATTCAACTGATTTTTCAGTACTAGTTCATTTTAGACATATGAGCAAACAGTCGAGAAAATATATTCGTTGAAAAGTACGAGAAACAAAACGAATGGAAGAAAAAAAGCAAATGAACGATAAAAATTATAAATGACTGCTATAAATAAATGATAATCTATATTTGAAACACATTCCTGTTATGTATAGACACAATCTATAATTTTAACGTTGATGACTTTTTTCTCGTTCCATTCTTTCTGTTGGTCGTACTCTTCAACGAATACATCTTCTTTTCTGTTCTCTCATGTCTAAAGTGAATTAGTACCAAAGTTTTAAAAAAAGCAACAATTTTACAAAAAGCTAAAACAGCTGATAATATTAAAACTGAACGACAAGTTTTGGAAGCTATTCATCAGATTCGATTTTTAGTATCACTTCATTATGCTTTTCAAAGTGATGCAAAACTTCATCTTGTTATGGGTTAATTCATTTATTCTTAAAACACAAAAAGAATCTTTTATTATTATTATTTATATTATGTCAGTGGTGGAGAATTATTTACATATCTTAATAAACGACAGCATTTTAGTGAACAAGATGCTAAAATCTATATTACTGATTTAACACTTGCTCTTGATGAAGTGCATAAAGTAATATTCAAAGAAGAATAACTATATAAATTAAAATATAAATTCATATATTTTTAGCTTGGTATTATTTATCGAGATATTAAACTTGAGAATATATAACTTAATAGTGAAGGTCATATTGTTTTAGCAGATTTTGGTTTAATTAAAGAATGTCGACAAGATGATGCTGTAAGATTTAACTTTTTTGTTGTTTTATGATTTTTCTATTATTAAATATATGTAGGATAAACGAACATATTCATTTTGTGGTACAATTGAATATACAGCGCCAGAAATTGTTAAAAGTGGTGATGCTGAACATGACTTAGTAAGTTTTTCTTTGTAATAAAAACGTAATTATTTATATTAATATGAAAATAGACGGTTGATTGGTAGAGTCTTGGTGTTCTTACAATTGAGCTTTTAACTGGTGCTTCACCATTTACTATTGATGGTGATCGAAAACACTCAATCAGAAATATCAAAGTAGACTTTTAAGATAAAATATGTGAAGGATAAATTGATTTTGTTTTTCCAGACGAATAGTTAAAAATCAACCATTAATACCAAATTATATATCAAAAATAGCCAAAGATTTTATTCTTAAACTTTTAATGAAAAATCTAAAATATCGTTTAGGTTCCGAAGGATTAGAAGATGTTAAACATCATCCATTTTTTGGATCTGATATTGATTTGGATACTATTGCACAAAAACGTTTTTAAGCACCAATTAAAGCAAAACTTAAAGATGAAATAGATACAAGTAATTTTCCATATGAATTTACTCTGTTACAAATAACAGATTCATCTGGATTGGCACAATCAACTTGAAAGTCTCTTTAGAGTTAGTTAGATCTTTTTTAATTTATTTTCCTTTTATTACTTATCAAATCTTTTTAGGGCTATTTATTCATTTCACCTACTATCTTCTTTGGTCCAGAGAATGCCGTCAATGAAGATTTATATAATTTTCTTCGTTTTACAAATCACCAACAACCTGATCCATCACAACTTCATTGATTGATTAAAGTTTGTTCGAAGTTTTTTTCTTTCTAGTCTTTAATCTTATTTTTTATATCTTAGACAAGTTCTTTCTTTCAAAACTATGAATTAATCGATCGTAAAGGTTTTCTTGGTAAAGGCAGTTATTCAATTTGTCGGTTAGTTCGAACAATAGATATTTTTTTTAATTCTGCTATTAAATAAAAATTTAGACGTTGTCAAAATCGTCGAACACGAGAAGAATTTGCTGTAAAAATAGTTTCACTTCGACAAGAAATTGATACTAAAAATGAAATTGATCTTTTAAATTTATGTCAAGATCATGCTAATATTGTTAGATTACATGAAGTTTATTTTAATGAGGTTAGTTTTATTAAAATATTTAAAAAACAAATAGAGATTAAATGAAATATGAAACTATTTTTTTGTATAGTAATCCTTTATTCAATAGAAAATAATCTTGACAATTGAGAATAAACATATGATTAATTCATCGTGTGTGAATTAATTTAATAAACTTCTTATTATTCAAATAAATATATAGAAGTATAATACTTAAGAGAAAATGAGTATATGATTAAATTACTGCTTTTGCTACATAGATAATATCGTATTTACTTTGACAAATTGTCTTATTGATTAATTTTGTATATTAAATAAATTAATTCATGTACTATAATAGAATGAATATTGTTTGTTATTTGTCAAAGGAAGAAAGAGTTTATACTTTAGTTGATATATACGATGATTTTTTTAGTAAAAATATAGAAATTTGAATAATATAATCTTGATTTATCATTTTTATTAAGCTTAATACCTATATCATAATGGAATTATTGATGCGTGGTGAATTTTTCTATCGAATTCGTACACAAACATCACTTTCTGAAAAAGAAGCAAGTCAATTAATGAGAAAACTTGTATCAGTTGTCAATTTCATGCATAGTACTGATTTATGTCATCGAGATCTTAAACCAGAAGTATGAAAATCTTAATTGAATTTTTTTAAAATTCTAAATAAATATTTATCTTTTATAGAATTTACTTTTTTCATCATCTCTTCTCGATGCTGAAATAAAGATAATTGATTTTGGTTTTGGTTTTGCTAAAAAAAGTACTAAACATCAACCGATGACAACACCATGTGGTACACTCTTGTAAGATAATATAAAACTTATTTTAATTATATTTTAAAACGTTTTTGTTTTGTTTTATAAAGATATACAGCATTAGAAGTACATCGTGCTGCAACATCACTTAATCATTATCAATCATCTTCTCTTTCGATATCATCAGTATCATCTTCGTCTTCATCATTATCATCAACAAGTACAACTGTAGCTCTTGTACCTTCTACATTGACAAATACAAGTCCAATTACATATGATTATGATGAGTCATGTGATTTATGGTCACTTGGTGTTATTTTATATACAGTGTTAAGTGGTGAAGTTTCATTTAATTCGATAACAACTCATCGAACAGCTGAAGATATTGTTGAAGATATTACACGTTCGAAATTATCATATGATATACCAGCATGAAAAAATGTTTCACTAGCAGCTAAACATTTTGTTAAAGGTTTGTTTTGATAATTATTATTTAGTTAACTGTCATATGTTAATTGAAAAGATATTTATTTCATTATTTTTTTTATTTATTAGGTTTGTTGACAGTTGATCCATCAAAACGTTTAACAATTAAAGATTTATCAAGAAATACTTGGCTTCGAGGTTCAAGTATTCAAACATCACATGATCTTTTAATGACACCTAGTATACATTGTCAAGCATCTCAATCTCTGATTATATGTAATTTCGAGAAGAAAAAAAGAAAATTAAATGAATAATATTTAATTTTTCTATAAAGGTTCGTGCTGTTAATGTAACAATACATGAATTTCAAAAAGCTGGTCAATTTCAATTATCTTCTGTTACCGATGGACTTCTAGCACGACGTTGTTATACAAAAAAATCGACTGATTCATGTTCATCAACATGAAGTTTGACAACTATATCGACTACAGGTGTTGTATCTACTAATAATGTTCCTTCATCTATATTATCACATACTCGTCGTTTATGTAGAAATGGTGTTTGTCGTGATCGTCATGCTCCATGTCCACCAACAAATGGTATTTCATCTTTATCATCATTTGATTTTAGTGATGAAAGACTTTCACAATTAATAAATCAATATCCATTAACAACGACAATACCACCAAAAAGATATGGAATGACATTAAGATCACGAGCAACTGTTGCTATTAATGGTGTTCAGCATGAACTTGCATCTCCTGTTTTACCTCCACCATTACTTTTTGTACCTTCTTTATCTTTTTCTTCATCTTCCTCTTCAATTATTATAGATATACATTCTTCAACGAATACTAATAGTGAGAAATGTTCATTAAGATCACGCATTCATCATCCATTGGCATCAGTGAATAAGAAAATGAAACGATCCGGTACAATAACTATTGACGATTAGAGTATTTCTCTTTCATTTTCTCTATAAATTACTCGCTTCTATATTTTCCTAATCTTTTTTTTTCTATGTATCAGTTTTTTGTTTTGAAAACATAGAAACGTTTTTTCTTTAATCAATATTATTATCAATATCATTATCATCAGTGCTCGTGTTCATTAATAATTGTTGTTGTGATTTTAGTTAATGAACAATGATTGATTCTTGTATGTAGGTGCGCCATTTTCTCTCTCATTTTGTCAACTATATTTATGCTATTATTTCTTTTTTCTTCATTTCTTTTGCAATAATTGCAATGGGCGACGGATATTGTGAAAGAGATTGTTCATGCAGACATGATGAATTATCAAGTTTGCTTTGATGTTTTTCTAAATAGTTTTCTTGTTAAACACAATAACTCTTAATTATCATAAATAACATTCTCAAGATCTTTAAACTGTCTCATGTTTATTTTCATGCAAAATGGTGAAAAACAGGAAAACGATGATTAATTATTTTTTAAATCATAAAGAGAAGCTAATATGAGATGACTACCAAACCATTTTAGTAATAAAAAGACATGGTTAAAGATAAGTTCATAATAATATTGGCCATCAGATCACATTTAATTGTATATCGAAAAATAATCGTGAAGAAGAAACTTAATTAATGTAACTGAAGCTTAACATCCGAGAGACAAATATGTGAATATATAAAATTTTTAATAAAACGCAACTAACTAACAAACAGATGGAACAGAAAAACTTTGAAAGAAATAAACATTAACGAAAATAAAATTTGAAAAAAATAAAATCTAAACATCATGTTTATTTACACATCGGCGCGACCACCATTTCCAAAAAAATTCAATAAACAATGCCAAAACCACCAGCCACAAACATGACTTCTTAAGCCAATCGTATAGTCCAGGAAAAAACCGTGACACCACAACATTTAAAATAAACCCGGCAATTGTAATCACTGCAGGACTATATGGCTTCCCGAATCCAAGTGCACTCACAAGCGCCATCCCAATTCCCATTAACGAGTATATTGGTATTTTCCAATCGCTTAACTTTACTTCTCAATCTTTCCTCTCTGGCATAAATGAAATGTGATAACTAATACAAATTATCATACAACAGAATATGGACACCAAAAGATAACCGATTGTTGAATTGTATTGAGGACTAAAAGAAATAATTAATGAAATTTTCTCTGATTTTTCAATTGAAGAGTTATTTAGATGATTCAAGAAAAATTTTTAAATTAATTACGAAACTTTTATTTAGATTTTAATAAAACAATTGTTTGGATTTTAATACAGCAATAATTTTGATTTTAATGCATGAATTGTGTCGATTTTTATCATACAATGGGTTATTTAATTTCAATCTGAATTTAAACAGAAAAAGAGCACTTGATTTCAAATTGAAATAAGGGACTAAGGGGACTAAGCGAACTATTCAGTGGGGAAGTGTGTTTCCCCACCTAACACACCTTTTATTTCATCATCGCGGCGTCGAGGCGCGAAGCGCCCCCCGAAGAGCCGTGACCCATGCACCTCTCTGTGTACACCATTATTCCTACCCTTAGTCCGCTTAGTTAGTCCCCTTAGTCCCTCTGTCTTGGTAAAAATGGGGTGTTATTTTTTATTCAAAATTCAATTTGAAATAAAAAAACCCATAGACTCATTTTTATACAAGATTGATTTGGATTTAATAGAAGATGTATTTAGATAATTTAGCAAGTTTTGTTGAATTTATTAATAGAATTGTATTAGTATTTTTTTAAGTATTATTCAGATTATTCCCAGAATATCTCAAATTAACAGTATTATTTTTTGTACTGGATCTTACTATTCATCAGTGTTCGTTCCGATGGTTATTGTAGTAGGTCTTTGTGGTGGTGAATTATTTCGTTGTGATGGTCGAGGAAACCGAGGACATGGCATCCTATAAAAGCAGTTGTATATAGGTGGAAAGAAAATTGAACCTAAGAAGAGTAGCAGCTTAATTTTTATTTATTTATACTGCTGTCAGATATGTCAGCTACTATGACTAGGAAGATAAAATTGCTTCTTTCATTTGTTTCATTGTAGAGGAATTAATGCGATGTCAAGATATAGTTAAAGTTATTTGTTTTTAGCAATTTAGTAAAAAGTATATTTTTTGTCTATAAAAAATAGCAAGTGATAATATTTTAAAACTTCGGAAAAAATAAAAAGGGTTTTTGACTTCACTAATCTGCAGAGTCATAAAGGAGAGGAGGTTTGTGAAGGCTTGATTAATAACGTCTTAGAATGCTGAACATGTGATAAAGTATATTAGCAATACATTGATGATTAAATTGACACAATTAATTATACGTGTAAGTTAATTTTAACGCATTCAATGTTTTTGTATTTTATCCATAACCTTTGGGCATCATAAAACATTCTCGGACTCAAAAAGAAGTTGTCTCTTTTAAATTCTCTCCGCTCGTTATAAAATAATCAACATCTGCTCTTGATTACATTAGTTCTCATTGCCAGAAAATATTTTAGATGAAATTAAGCTGACTAGTTTTACCGAAATCGCTTCAAAGATTTACTTGCAAAATTGGATGAAAAAAAAACAAAAATTTAATTTTAATCGAAAACTGAGTCATTCAAATATTATATGAGCAATTTCGGATGAAAGAGGCTCGATCTGAAGGGCTGTGTTTCCCACAAGTCGTGGCAGATATCTGATGACCTCAGCCAGCCAATGCTACACTGGAGTTTTCCCCACAGGTCGCGGCAGCTTCATCACGGCCTGAAACAATTAATGCTGAAATGAGTCCTGCATAGCCTAAAGATTATGATCTTTGGAGGATTAAATCATCATTGTAAAAATTGTAAACTTATGGAGGGGAAAAAGCTGATTTCTTGATTGTCACTGATTGCCACTGCTAATTATTGGCAATCAACGACAATCAATGGCAATCAGGTAGCAATCAAATGATAATATAGTGGCAGTTGATTGCTATTGAATGCTGTTGATTGTCACTGATTGTCTTGAATGCAATCAGCTTTTTCGCCCTTGAAACTCATTGTAAAACATATGCAAAACTTTCGCTTGCTGAGTCGAATGACAATGTTGGTTGTTTCATCAACTTATATGAGGGCGCATGGAGAATTAATCTCTTTCCAACACTGTTTTTGTCACATCTTTTGAGGTATACATCGATTCAAGCTGAACTTTTCAAAGATGAATGTTTGTATTATTATTTATCGCAGCATTCTTTAATAGTTGTAATACTATGCATAGGTTTCTGTTCAACAAATAGATAAAAAGTCGAAAAACAGTAATCTCTGGCATCAATGAACAACCAAAAACTATAAAATACTGATGAAGTGGGAGAGAAAAAAACGGTGAAAATAAAAATATTTCTTGACTTAGTAATATTAGATTCCGCATCTTCTGCTCCTCTTGTTGTAAGTATTTTCCATCGTATAGTGTTGGACTCCATCAAAATACTATGAAATTCAAAACTTTTGTCCTTCATTTATAGTCTATAATATTGTTCAGGTTTTATTCATTGATGTTCAAATAGGTTTAAAGAAATGTATACCTGAATCTGATATTAGTTTTGAACTGAATCATAGTTTTGTGTACTCAAAAAGTGAGTACACTATAGAATAGTCAGTGTATCCGTTCGTCCGGTTGGCTGTTTACATGATAACTTTTGACAGCAGAGTCAGATTGCGATGAAACTTTCTACGCAGCTTAGTCTTGACAATGTCTCGGTCGAGTTCGAAGATGAGAAGGACCGGCGGATAGACCCTGTCGGGTCCAGAATTTTTGGACCCGGACTCGGACCCGTTTACAGTTTGCTGGACCCGGACCCGGACCCGGTCGCTTAAATTTTTTGGATCCAAACACAATGACAAGTCAGTTTAGATAGTACAGTCAAGAAGGGTTTTGTTGTTTTTTATCTATTTTCTAAATACATTTGATCTCTTCTTTGTATAAAACGAACAAAACTTTAAAAAAATTCAAAATAAATTGTATGGATCAAAGTTTTCTTCAGACCTGGACCCAGTTAAAGCAAAATTTTCAGACCCGGACCCGGACCCAGTCAAAATAAAATTTTTGGACCCGGACCCGGACCCGTGCGGGCCCGGGTCCTACCAGACAGGATCTAACACCAACCCACACACCCACACTTATACCCTTTGTTGACTGAAATATTTTAAGAGTTTTATCTTAAAAGATCAGTACTTCATAAGCAAAAGTGAAACCTTTTTGTAGAGCAGAAAATTCTCAATCTCTTGAACATAAGGGCATCTGCAAAATACAAAGAAGAGACAATTAATCGATATTGTCGAACAAATATTTATTTGAAAAAAAAACAATGAATAAAAGCAATATTTTTCCATACAAGGTTAATCTACACTACTGACCAAAACTATCCTCCCCCTCCGATCTAAATCACTATATGAGTTGTATATCTAAAAACAAGTATGCACATAGTTCTCAATGAATGGTGATTATTGATATCACCCTCATCCCGCATCTTCACGTTGCATTATCAGGCACCTTTAATATTATATTTTGTGTCTTTTTTTTCTTAGTTATCATTCAAATATCATCATCAACAAATCATCCATTGAGTAATATGAAAGATAACAATCAGATTTTGTTCTCTCTATACAAATTGTTATGTTTTAATTATTGTTCGAAATTTTTCTAGAATATTGTTGTCTTGACCGGAAAGTATTGATTATAATACAGAACACAGAATTTTTGTTTTGAGCATCTAACAAACATCAATTAAATGGATGACTTGTCTCTCTTAGTCTTTGATATCGAACGATACTATATTTATTCAAATTTTTGATTATAAAGAAAAGATTAACATGTGATAAATTGCTGATAACGTGTTGTTTTTTTTCAAGTACAGATATCTTCGTTGATATAAAAAAATGAAGAAATACATTAGTTCACTTATTATAAATAACTGTCAATGTGATGCGTTTTGAGAATTATTTTAATACAAATTTTATTTCTTCCATTCAGTATGTGCAACAACATTTCTGATGACATTTTGTTCACTATTATTATTTGATCAATGTAGTATACTTTTTGATTTTGCGACACAACGTGATTGCAATCGATAATTTATAAAAAAGAACTAAACCAACTTCAACAAATAGTTGCTGGATCATTTAATTATTATTGATCTATAATTCCTTTTCTAGCTGCTGTTCATATTGGAATTCTTTATCTAGAATAGAAATAATGAATAACTGATGACTTTTCTTTACTAAACATTCAACTGATAAAAGTACTAATGTAATGAATGATTAATATTATTTAAGTTCAATGTACTTAGCACATATTATATTAAATAATTATTTTCTTCTAATAATTCAATAAAAATTACGTCAGTTATCACATCAAATATCGAAGAACAGCTTGCATTAATTGTAGCAAAAAAGAAAAAAGGAAATATTATTTACTTTGTTTTGTAATACATGTATATAAATTTATTTTATAGAATTCAAACTATTGTTCATGAAGCGAATTTCATCATACATCAATTGAATCTAAAGGATATAAAAAGACAAATTCAACAATCATTATAATAAAATATCAGTTTAACTTTAAGTAATGATGAATCTTATTATTGGGATTTTTCACAAATAACTACTAATTATGAACAATGAGTTTCGGAAGCTAAACCATAAGAAAAATTCATCAAAAACCAACTTGTCTATCTCTCTCATTGATTGAAATTAAGAAAAAAAAGACTTTCAAATAAAACAAAATGAATGTTAAATGATAATTGAATATTCACTTGTGAAAAAGTAGCACAATCGATTTTAGTACGCGAACGAAGCAGATAAAGCATAACAAAATTAATCCAACCAATATCAAATACACTTTTTAAAAATTTAAGAGATCGAATATATATACTTGATAGTAGTCGATAGAGAAGAATTTTCTCTATCGAATTACACACTTTAAGTTTTTCTCGAAAAAGTAGCTATAAGATTAAATCAACGAAATAATACGAGCAATTCAATTACAGATCACTATTAGTGGTGTCACCATAAAAAATATATAGTCATTAAGTTCAAAAATTTGTCTGAATTTTCGAATTTTTTTTTCGCTAAATCGGGTTTCTCTTTATTTGTCCATGGCTGAGTCGATTGGAAAATTCAACAGCATTCAAACCTCTCTCCTTACAAAGTTATAGCAAATGCATAAATCGTGTATCAATAGTGCATTAGGTTGCTATGGATGCTGTAGTTTGTAAGATTGACATCTCAAAAACTCGACATGGCCCGAAAAAAAAACGGACTTTACCAAGTGTTAGAGAACTGTTTAGAGAAAGTACTGTATTCATCTACCCAGGAGATTCAATCCGACCTGTAGATTCGATCGAAAACGATCGGATCCGCCTCGGATTTCATCGGAATCCGACATCTTTCATAAAAAACCGATCGGACCCGACAAGGTTTTTGTCGGATTCCCATCAGCCGGATTCCGGTCTGGATTTCATCGGAATTCGATGGAACACGCTGAAATCCTGGCCGGATCAGGTCGGATTTTATCACGTTCCGTCGAATTCCGATGAAATCTGGACCGGAATCCGGCTGATGGGAATCCGACAAATATAGGACCGGATCCGACCGAAATTATTCCGAACTGGCGAGATCCGACTGGGGTCGTTTGACCTGGGTAATCTTCAGGAAACGTGTCCTGACATGTGGCCCCACTTAGTAGATTAAAGTATTCTCTATTTGTCGATGATTCGATGATTCATCCCAATTGTGATTGTACAATAGCACATGCTTGATATTCATATCTAACGCTCTCTCCCTTCTTATTATTGTTATATACAAAAACAATGTCCTTACAATTTCGACAGCAGTTATGAGCAAAGAAAAAAAAGAAAATGTAATAAGGAGCAGCACTATCGTTCCAGTTGAACGAGTGAACAAAAAGGATAAATGCATCGATTATATATATCTATAGATATAATGAATACGTAATAACAAACAAAAAAAAACAATGACTCATATGTTTGAATCATTGCCAAATGAAATTTGGCTTATTATATTTAGTTATCTATCTTCACGGCATATTTGGCGAGGTTTTTTTGGAATCAATAAACGTTTGAATCAATTATTAACTTGTGATGTAAATCGTCATACCATCGACTTGAAAGGTATATCTTATTCTGAAATAGTTGAACTACTTGAAGATCGTGACAATAATTCACATGGTCGCCGATGGCAAGCAGAATTTGTTTCTCATGCTCATGCGATTTGTCTTGAAAATGAATTTGATTATGAGATACTAATTGATCGATGGATAGCTACAAAGACAAATTGGCAATTATCATCTCTACAAAGTATTTATATTTTACCAAACGCTATAAAAAGCATGTATTCATTAGTTTCTCAACTTAAATTTACAATATTTCTCGAATCACAACTTCATTATCTTCATCTTGTTTTTGAAGATCCATGTTACACTTATCATTCTATTTTGTCAGAAATGGTTAAAAAACGTATTTCATATCCAACCATGATACTTGAAGTAACAAAAGGTTTGTATACAAGAAATAAGATAATCAAATAACGTCGTCTTTCAAATAAAATTTTTAAAAAAATCGAATAGTTCTGTTTCATCTTTAACAAGAAGGTTTACATAGCATTCTCAAACCGAACCGCCATGTCTGAGTGGTTACGTTATTCGGTATGTAATCACAAAGTACTGTGTTCAAATTTCGATACCATCAGCTATGGAATGACCATGGATAAGTCACTAACGGCTATTTGTCTCGGATCACCCATCCGATAGCATGCTAATTACATTGTCGACATACAACATAGCTCTTGTAGCTGCTATGTGATTAGTCAGTATGCATGGGGAGCTTAAGTCATTGAGCGAGAAGAACTCTGCGTAAGGCTGGCCTTCTGTCCAGAGTTGCAGCTAGTTATAGTTGTAGGAAAAATATCGGGTTTACGAAACTGTCCTTGGACAACACTCTATACCGAAAGGCGAGGGTATTCTTCTATTCTTATTTCTTCTCAGACTGAAGTCTTATCCGCTTAATAATAATTGATCTTCACAGGCATGTATTTATTTTTAGGACATCAATATCAACATTGGGAACATAGAGAAGACTTGTACAATATAGAATATCCATTGTATTGGATACATCCTGTACGCTTGACTCTTAGTTTACAACATTCATCTGAACTTATTCTTCTCTTAATGCCTGAAGCTTTACCATTACTCGAGCATTTAAATGTAACTATTGAACAGCCACGAAAGGATTTAATAACTAAAAATGGTCAATCAACAGAACATTTTGAATTGTGCGAAAAAGACCTCCGTTGTAAAAATGCTACTGGTGAAAGACTTAAATCGTTTGTCATACGTTACATAGAACTCGATGATCTTTTAATTTTATTCAATACACTGACTTTTCCTCTTCTTCATACACTCATATTGGTTGATATATATGATAAATGTAAGTGCAATGACAGTTTTTTAGTTTTTTTTTAAATTTTATGCGACAAAAATAGATAAAATCATGATGATAAAAAGCGAACCAAGTTGTGGAAGTTTCAGTTATCCGGAATCTTTATCAGCTACAAGTTTTAAGTGATAGTGTAATATATCAGAAGCAATGCTCTTATTTCTTTGAAACAAGTCGCCAGTTTGAATGATACTGAGAAATAAAAGGTATATAAATTCAGTTCAGGTTCAAACTAGGATCCAACTATTTCAGATTGTATTAGCTACTGATTAAAACATTTTCGAATATCAATCATTTTCATAGTTATGATTAACTTCAAATTGCTCCTCTCTGATTTTGAATATTTATTAGATGTTTGAAATAAGAGAAAGAGTACCCTTCAGAACTTTTATTTTTGGTATTGTCTTATTTTATGTTTTATTCAATTGAAAGAACTTCTCCCTCTTTTTTTGACTATATCTGTTTTTTGAAGAGAGTATAACTAGTTCCCCTGAAATTTTTACTACAGATAGAGCTCCTAAAATAACGAGATACGTGTTTGAGAAAAAACATTCTAAACACTGTGTTTTGCGGTTTTTCAGCGAAAACCATGGTTTTCCATAAGATTGCATCGGACTCACTTATAACCCCTCTCTAACTTTGTTCGATCAAGCTGAAATTTTTTTATAGATACCTTAGACAATAACTCAGGTGTTTTTATGCTTTTTCAAATATCTAACTTTCTTGATTTTTTATGAGAGACAGACCTGAAAGAGTTCGGATTCAAAGCAGGGTGCTTGCGTTCAAGACCCTATAAATCTGAATATGAAGGCTAAAAGTGAAAACGGTTAGTTTAACCTTTGGAGGACATTTACAAGTATCGGTGGTAAAAATTTCAGCCGAATCGGACAAAGTTGGAGGAGTCATAGGAAGACCCTATTCAGAAAACCCATATTTGGCGTTACGCTAAACGAAAGAAAAACTTTCGCTGCAGTTTTTATGAAAAAAGAAATTTTTTAAGTTCTCTAACTCTGTAATACTAAGATGTTTAGGATAGAATGACGTCTCTAATTGCTCATGATACAAGGCTATCATACCTTATGCTCAAACTCGAAATTAGTTTGTTGATCAAAAAAGAGGGGAGATATCTTTAATGGCTTTGAAAAGTGGTAAGCAATGAAATATCAAAATTAATGTTATGTTTTTTGTTTAGCTTTAGATAATTTGCTAGCTTTTCAACAATCGTTTAGTCCTTCAAATTTACCTTCTCTTAAGCACAATCAATTTCAATTTTTACTTCGGTTTCCTGCTAAATACAAACATGAATGGATTCGTAGATATCATAATAATGGATGGCCATTTGATAATGTTAGTTTTCATGTAGATGAACATATTGTGGAATTACTTGCTTATTCCTCTCCGTTAGATATTATTGAAGATATTTTTTATGTTTATTCTATTCCTTTTGATTTATTGAAGCATATGCGCACTATACACAATTATGAACTTTTTACTCGTTATTCAACGATAAGTCGAAAAAATTTTGTTTATCAAAACATGGAATGGCTATGGAAGTGGACAAGCAATGAAATTCAATTAATTACAACTCTTAAAAAACTGAGAAACGTCGAGACGCTTCACTGTTTGTGTGTCGGAATCAATGTAGGTCATCACTTTCATAAAGACATACATAAATGTTCTCATTGTTAATTTTTATTTGTCTTGATCTTTGGTTTACAGAAGGGGGAAACAACATGAACTTCAGTCTTGAAGTCCCATGAAGTCTTTGCAAAATTTGAAGTCTTAAAGTCAGTTGTTTCTTCCTTGAGTTTACATTCATATTTTCCTTTTATATTTTAAGTTTTAAATAGAAAAAAAAATACAAAAAGTAAATAGATTATGTATCGTTTGAAATTTTAGAATCAACCAGAAATTGTCGTAACTCCAACATGTACTAATTTATGTCTTCATCTTCGTTCGTTGACCTTTCAATTCCAACAACATGTTCCCTACCGAAGTGTAACACACTACTCGCCATTGCAAATAATTCTGGATGTATCACCTCATCTTTCCTATCTCAATGTGAGATGGAGAGATCTTTCTCATTGTTCTGGCAGGTATCCAATGATTACACATGTTCATCTCACCGTTTATGGATGGGAACGTAGAGATTTTGATGTAAATCGATTAAATATACTTATACCTAAAATGCATTACCTCGCTATTCGTGGGCAAGAACTGATAAGAGAAAAACAAATGGTTGATCTTGTATTGGAATTGCTGATTAATAAGGCTTATTTTCGTGAATTAATACTATTACAAATAAATAAAAATGGTAGAGTCACACTTAAACCACATGTAAAAACAAGAACTAAAGAGGCAATTATAGCAAAAATCGATCGCCTACAAGACTCAACTATGACTCAAATTGAATTTTCTTACCATAACCAGCTGAATATTTGGCTTTGCTAAGAGAATAATTTATTGTTGTTATGCTGTTTTCTCTTAGTCATTTTGTCGATTTTTTTTGTAAGAATAAACTTGTTTAATTTGTTTTTCAAATAGATATATCTGTTAGAATTTTCTAATTAAAAATATCATAGATCATCATCAAGGGTGTGGGTGTGGTTAGAAAACTAGGCAGGTGGAGACCCACATCCACACCAACACCCACCCACACCAACACACCCACACCCACCCACACCCACACCCACACCCCACCCACCCACGCCCCACACCAACACCCACCCACACCAACACACCCACACCCACCCACACCCACACCCACACCCCACCCACCCACGCCCCACACCAACACCCACCC